AGAAAAAATGTAGCCAAAAGAATAAAATAGATTCCAAAGCTCCGTGACCCAGACGAAACAGTAACATCAGACAAATAAAGAAAATAGCGATAAGAAAAATGAAAAACAAGACAACCACGGCAGAAAATGACATTGTGATTAAAAATATTAAGAAAGAAGGAAATAAATTGATTTAGGCTCTTAAAATGCATTTGGTAGATGTTTAAAAACTGGAAAAATTCCAACGGCGTATAACAATGCTATCATGATAATCATTCATAAGAAGGGTGATCACACAGATCTTAAAAACAATTGTCTATCAAGGGTTTCAAGCCGATTTCCTAATCCGTTACAGTACATACGAGCACTTACTGATTAAAAACAGTGGAATACCACAAAACACTGGTTGTAAGATTTGTGGACTACGGGAAAGCATTTGACTTAGTGGACCAAGACAAAATAATTGCTCCACTAGGGGATTTAGATTTGACCATATTTTCATCATTAACATCAATCAACCCTGATTTGTCCATAGTTGAACAGAGGCCTACTCCAGATATTTCTATCTGTTTCGGTTCTGTGCCTTTGCTATTCAATTGGTCGATATGTAATATCATTTATTAAAATAATATGCAAAAGATCAACAGTATATGTGAAACTTCTTACTAATGCATAAAGACTTAAAATGGAACGTGGAGTATAGCAAGGTGATAACATCTCATCCCAAGTGTTTACAATGCTTCTGGAATGTATGTTTAAGAAACTTAAGTGGGAGAACATGGAAATTAACATCAATGGTGAAAGAATAAACCACTTAGGCTTTGCTGATGATATCATGCTAATTTCATACAGTCACACTAAGTACACTTAACTCTGTGTCAACTGAGGTAGTTTGAAACATTAACCATAATAAAAAGACATAGTATATCAAGAAACCGACGCAGATACCGTTACAAATTATTTTCAAAATTGTTAACAAAAAATAAATAGATCTCTTAGGAGTAATCCCATATAAAAAAAAATATAAACAACATTAAGGCTAGACTTTGGGTTAGTCTAATTGATCTTAGCAAACAAGAGTTAAAGAGATACACAGATAAGATGACTGGACAATTTGAACTGAGAAAACACATCTACACTCCATCTAGGTAGAGTGAATGACCTGTGGAAATGAGAAGTGAAAAAAGAAGCTACCATACATGTCTTTAGTAAATTTGGAATGCTTAGTGATATGAGGCGAATATACACCGGCTAAAAAAGTAAAGATACCAGGAACAATAAGGCATAAACTTGTACAATACCTTCCTCAAACAAAATCCTAGAAGTATATACACTTTGATATCACCTGCAGACAGACAAGATAGAATTGTTCTCGATATCAACTTTAAGAAGTACAAAAAATCTACTAAAACATACCATGGAGCTGGTATTCATAGCAATCACAATTCAGTTATACTGGATTTTAGACTACAAAGATTTTTAAAAGTTCAAGAGCCTATCAAAACCAGTTTACCATCAAAAGATGATCTGAATTCTGAGAACAACTGGAATTGACAAACAAGATTTGCGAATTATCTCAGAAATATATAAGCGCCAACGATGAAATGGATAGCAAAATATGGGCCAGGGGTCATCCAAGATCCGAATATATAGAAAAACGATTAAGTTAAACATAACTTACGGTTCAGAAACTGGAACAATGACGAAAGACGATAAATTACCATTGAGGCATTTTGACTGTCAAGTATGACAAAAATATATGGATCTAGAGTTGATATGATACTTGAATGATCTCTATTTAGAAGAAATGAAAAAATGGGAAGGATATGCAATGAACCACACGTAATCAAATAGATTATGCCTCATGTAGACAGTACATGTGCGGAAAACCCAGAACTATATTGGCGCCAAACGGCAACAATTAAAATAGAGCACAAAGCATCCGAATATATACAAATCCGGCGAGGAGTGCGAGTTGATTGTATCTTATCACCGCTATTATTTAATCTGTGTTCAAATCTGTATTTAAAGAAGCATTAGACGAGGTTCAAGGTGGAATCAATATAATAACCCAAAAAAAGAAATCTTATGAAGAATCGAACAATCCAGGAAAACACTCATGACATGTAAATATTTTTTACAAGATCAAACGGTTTTTCTGTCTTGCTATATGGCTGTGAAAAATGAACAATAGACTAAGAGACAGAAAAAAAGCTAAATGACTTTGAAATGTATATATACAGACGGATGTTGAGAATTTCATGGGTACAAAAAGTTACCAACGATGAGGGGCTTCGGCGCATGAGTAAATAAAAAGAAGTACTAACAATAATCCTGAAAATATGAATTACTCCCAATCATATTGGAATGTAATGTACAGGGCAAGAGATCATTAGGAAGACACCAGAACTCGTGGCTGAAAGGCCTGGGAAGATGGTTTGACCCCTTCAGTTTAAATAAGAAGAATAAACATGTAAAAAGAAACAATAAACTCCCCTAAGAAAGTAGTTCAAAGTACAGGACTTCCTAACGGACAGGATTTGGAAAAAAGTCGATCCATTATCAGAGACAAGTAGTGTCTTGGCTGGTCTTAAAAGAAACATTTATGACTAAAATATTTTTTATACGACATATTTAATTTCTTAAAAGCAATTTTTTGTTGTCTTGGTAAGATTTGAAGGCACATCTGAAAAACCAGTTTGGTCTCGTTTAGTATATCCAGGAAGCAAAAATCTGTAATTTAAAATAAAAACCTCGCGGTGATTCCAAAGTCGAACAATATTTCTATGTAGATTAAAATTGTTACCTACTATTTCAACTAAATAATATTTTTAAAGTTTTCTTAGTACGTTGTCTTGTTTTTCTTTGTGGAATAATAGAATTATCTATGAAATTGTTAACCCCCGTTGCTATTTTCTTTATATTTCGTAATATTTTACTATTTTTATTGGGAAAATCGACAAAATTTTCAAGTTAAAAACAAAACGTAAAAATAAACATATTTTAAACTAAAATTGCATTTAATTCAAAATAAAAATGGTAACTTACACTAAAATGCCAAAAGAAAATGGCTTTAAAATAATCTTAAATATGCAGCTACTAACACTGCACCGATAACACTTATTTTTAACAAAATTTCGGATTACCCATGAGCTCCTCATTATTATCACATATATTCATGGAGGACTTGAAGAAAACTTACGCAAACAAAGAAAACAACCTACAATATATGGGAGATATGATCGATATATTCTACATTTAGTCTCACGGACCAGAAGCATTGTACAAATTTCTGATGGATATCAACAATAAAGAAGAATCAATTAAATTCACCATGGAAAAAAAAACATTAATTTTCTTTCTTTTCTGGATGTGTTACTCACAAAAGAAGACACGGGATATGCAACCAAAGTTTACAGAAAACCAACCCACACCAACAGATGTTTCAATTAAAACTCAAACCACAATGTAAACATCAAAAAACGAATTATGAAGCACCTGCTCTATTTAAATGCATTTAAAGAAGCAAAAAACCTCCTAAACATGGTTTTGACAGAAAATGACTACCCATTGTCATTTATAAATAAGGAATTTCACAAGACTTACGAAAGGAAATAACAAAACATCACAAGCAATCTAGAAACGCTCACTCACTCAAGGGATTCAAAGATGACAACAATACCATTTGTAAAGGGCTTATTAGAAAAAATTTAAATGATGGGAAATAAGTATAATATCACAACGACATTCAAAACAACCAATACACTAAGATCTACCCTGTCCACGCAACCCACAACACACAAGAAATATCAAAGAACTACATCTATAAAATACAATCTGAATACAATAGTTTTTATGTGGAAGAAGCCGCAAGACAACTAAGTGTCAGAATAAATGAGCATGAAATATACATCAAGAACAGAAACTTCGACAAGTCTCAGATATGCAAACATGACTGACATAAAGAGCACAGAGTACAATGGAAATATGCATCAATAATCATCAAAGAAACACATGAAAAAAAAAGTAGCTCTCATTCTACTTTATGAAGAAAATGTGTAAAACACATCGGCAGAATATAGCAGGCTGTGATTGCCAATACTAAAAGGAGAAGTTCCTAACAAAAACATATAAATAATAGCAGATTAAAGGAAATTGGAGACATAATCTACAATTGCACACAATACATATGCAACACACTGTACAAAAACATATAATATACGTTAAACACACATTATACAAGCAAATAAAACACACAAAACAATGAAAATTTGATATTTCGAGGGTAAAAACACAACCTCAGATTTATAAACATAATATATAGTCTTTAATATCTTTTAACACTATCTTGAGCAAACCTGTAATAATGGATATTTTTAATTAAGCTCTAACCTTTTTAACTTTAATTTTCTATGGTTGAAATTTATTAATATAGTATGTAATATTACATACCTATTTTATTTCTGATTTTCCAACTACTCTGTAAACTTGTATAGGTGGAATACATGAATAAATGTTAGGTATTCTAAAATTTATTATTTTATGAGATAAAAATACCTACTAATTTATAAAAATTTAAATAATATAAAATAAAAAAGCGTGCTTTTCGAGGAATTTTTTTAAAACACGTACATCTGCTTGTGCGATAACTCTTGAAGCAGAAGTCCCAGAGTCTTCAAGGTTAGTACATAAGTTCCTTTTGGTATATGTAAAATATCTGTTAAATGTAGATTCAACAGGTAAGCTTCCTTGCTTGTCTCATATTTCATGACTTTCCTTTTCTTTTCCTTTCTTTTTCTTTCCTTTCTTAGTGTGATAAAAAACTTTATTAAATTTAGGGCCATCAGGTCTTCTTCATTTTTGCCTATCCTTATGTTCTTTTTTAATATAAAAGAAAAAAGAAGAAGTCTGAAAGTCAAGACTAAAGCCTTTAAAGTTGATATATAAGTTCCCCCCCAAGGTATGAAGAAAAACTGTTAAATTTGGGACCAAAAGGATTTTTTTCTTCTTAAATAAATAAGTCATAGAGTCTTAACACTTGGTATAATAATTCCTCTTGGTGTTCTTGGTGTTCTTAGTAGTTCGTGGAATTGATTTATTTTTAATATCGCTAAAAGGAATAAGGTAGGGTGACAACCCAGGAAAAGAAAGTAAGAAAACAAGTGAAACTATAGCCAATAAAAAAATTAAAATTGAAGTTTAAATTACAAATCGAAAACAACTTACCTTAACTTGTGATTCTGTCATTCCTAAAGCATAAGCTAATTTCGCTCGTTCTGGTCCAGCCAGGTATTTGGTTTGTTCAAAGGTTTTTTCTAACGCAAATATCTGCTGTCCAGAAAACGTAGGCCTCGTGTGTTTCTTTTTTGCGTCTTTATCTCCACCTAAACCACCCATATTACTTTGATTCACTAAAACAAATGGACAGTATTAGTTCATATTGAATATATTCTGTAAATTATTTATAAAATAATATCAATAAACAAATAAAATCAAACTTCTTGAAAAATGCATCAACTCGTTCTAAAACGTATAAATATAAGCTTGCAATACTTTAAATTAAGGTATAATCCGACAAGCGAGAGCTGGCGGGTGAGCTGCGCGAAAATAGAAAAGGAATTATTCTAAGAGAGATAGGAGAGGTACTTAATCGCGATTATAGGTATATAGTATAGGTACTTAAACGGTTATACACGATGTGAACTCCTAGCCGACTGCAATAGAAATGAGCAATTCCTTCCACTTCTCAATTTGTTCTACGCGCAACCCGCCAGCTCTCGCTTGTCGGGTTATACCACAATCATGTCATGAGCAAATTTTTTCTTTTTCTTTTAATCTTTATAAGCAATTCTGCTTGTTCATTGGCGGATTGAGATCATTTATGTAGTGCTAGTTTGAACACACGAGTCTCCCCCATTCTGCATATGTTATTATTCCATTATTTTTATTTGTTCAGTGTCCATTCATAGACTGTACGTTACGTTTTCTTCTAATTTCTTCACTGCTCTTTCGATCTCCTAGTGCATGTTCTGTAATTCTTTTCAGTGCGGTGTATCTTTTTTGCTTTTTTCAGTAGTTCTTTTGCTGTATTTGAGTCGGGTATTATTTGTGATGCATATGTCACCATTGGTCTTACACTGGCTTTATAAATTCTTGACTTTTTCTCAGTGTTAATATGTCGGCTTAATATGTCAGTCCATTTCCTTTTTGTACTTGATCTTAGTATATAGTCTCCATAGCTGGACATTGTTATTGCAACGTATTTCCGTTACTTGTTTATTACTGAAGCAATCGATTTTTATTTTACATCTCATTTGTTCTTTGCTGATTACTATTGTTTTAATTTTCTTTATTAAGATTTTGTATTAAATTCTTTCTTTTATGTTAAATATGTCGACTAGTCTTTGCAGATTATCTTCATCTTGGGCTATCAATATTGCATCGTCGGTATAACAGAGTATTTTTACTTCTTTGTTTCCCATTCTGCGTCCTCTTCTTTGTTGACCGTTGTGATGATTTCATCCATGATTGAATTGAAGAACATAGGGCTCAATGAGTTCCCCTGTCTTATACCGCTGCTTATATCTATAGGTTCCGTAGGTTTTCCATCTATTGTGACAATGCATTCTTCAAGTTTATCAAATACAGAAATATTGATCTCTTATACTCCAGTGATTTCTTAATAATTTACTTTATGACAAATATTGCATTTGAACACAATCTTTTAGTACGAAAACCCGGTTGGTCATCTGCTAAACTTATTCTGTGATTCATTAGTTCTTGTAAAATTTTAGTTTTATCATCTAGCCTCAAGAGTCCACTGCTGAACATAGGCCTCTTCCTCATGTTTCCAACCCCGTCTATCTTGCGCCGCTCTTATCCAGTTTTTATTGAGTTTTCTTAAATCGTCAGTCCATCTTGTAGGTGGTCGACTGACGCTTCTCTTGTCTTCCCTTGGCCTCCATTCCAATAACCTCTTTGTCCATCGCCCATCTGTCATTCTGGCTATGTGTCCTGCCCATCTCCATTTAAGTCTGGCTATCTTCTCGATGATGTCAGTCACTCCGGTTCTTCCCCTGATGTCTTCGTTGGTTATTCTGTCTCGCAGAGTTATTCCTAACATGGACCGCTCCATTCTTCTCTGCGTGACTCTCAGTTTGGTAGATGCTGCTTTTGTTAAGGTAAGTGTTCTTGGTCCGTACGTCAAGACTGGGAGGACGCACTGATCAAATACCTTTCTCTTTAGGCATGCATGTAGATCACTTTTAAAAGTTTCTCTCAGTTTTCCAAATGCTCCCCACCCAAGGCCGATTCTTCTCTTCAGATCATGAGTCTGGTTATCCCTGCCAATCATAATTTCATGTTCCAGGTATTTATATCTACCTACGAGTTCTATTTCTTTTCCACCAATACTGATGTTCTGGTTGGGTACCAAATTGGTCATGATTTTTGTTTTAGAGATATTTATATTTAAACCTACATTTTCTGTAGCCACAACGAGTTCCTGTACCATCTCTCTTGCCATACCTAGATCTTCAGCTATTATAAGTATATCACCGGCGAAACGTAAGTTGTTTAGATATTCTCCATCTATTTTTATTCCCCTTGTCATCCAATCCAAATTCTTAAAAGCATGTTCTAGCACCGTATTAAAAAGTTTAGGTGACATTGGGTATCCTTGTCTAACCCCCCGTTCTATTTTTATGCGATTACTGTTAGTATGTAATCTGACAGTGGTTGTTGCCTGCAGGTATATTTTGTAGAATAATTTAGTATATCTATAATATAGCCTGCATTCTTTAAGCACCTGTAATATTTTGCTTAGCTTAACTGTGTCAAAGGCTTTGTGAAAATCGATAAATTATAGAACTAGAGGTTTATTGTATTCCACTGCTTTCTCTATTAGGGTTTTTATACTTTGTAGATGGTCATTTGTTCCGTAACTTTTTCGGAATCCTGCCTGTTCCCTTGGTTGATAAGTCTCTAATTTTCTGTCCATTCTCTTAAGTAGTATTCGCGTAAACAACTTATTGATATATATATATATATATATATATATATATATATATATATATATATATATATATATATATATATATATATATATATATATATATATATATATATATATATATATATATATATATGGCTGAGGAGGCTAATCGGTCTGTAATTCTCTAAATTTGCTTTGTCTCCTGCTTTGTGTAATAGAATCATAGTAGCGTTGTTCCAGTCTGTTGGAGTATTGGCGCTGTAAAGGCAGATATTGAAAAAGTTGTTTAATTTTTTTCAAGTAATACATCCCCTCCAATTTTTAGTGCTTCTGATACTATTCTATTTTCACCCGGGGTTCGATTATTTTTCATTTTCTTCAGGGCTTCTTTGATTTCTGATTTTTTTATATCGGGCATTAAATCTGATCCTTGGTTTAATACCCCAGTTGTTAGTGTAATTGGAGATTCCGTATTGTTATCTTTTTTTCTTGATCTATATAACTCTATGTAGAACCCTTCGACTATTCTTAATATTTCATCTCTGTTCGTTGTTTCTTCTTCAGTTCTGTTTCTCAGTTTGTTAATTTCTATTTTCCCCTTTTGTACGCTCCTCTTCAAAACTTTCATGTTCTTATTTTGCTCTATTGCCTGTTTTGTTTTTTCTACATTGTAGTTTCTTATGTCTTTTCTTATTGCTTTTGTGATCGTCTTATTTATTTGATTTATCGCTTCTTTGCTTATAGTGTTATCTCCTTTCATTTGTCGCCTTAGTTCTATAAGGGTTTTCGTGGGTTGACTCAGTTTTACATCTTTTTTGCTTGTCGGGCAATATTTGGTTTGAGCCTGTTGTATTGTGTTTACTATTTGTTTGTTCAATATATTGATGTCTGCTGTTGTTGTATCTTTCAATGAATTACCAATATATTTTTCGAACTCCTGAATGTTAGTTGGTTTTGTCCATTTCTTTGGTTGTTTCTTATTTATCATTTTGTGTCTTTCTTTTTCGATTGATATCGTTATTTTAGCTCTTACTAACCTATGATCACTGCTTGTACTGAACTGGTTTAGCACATTTACGTCTTTAAATAATTCTTTTTTGTTTGTTAAGAAATAGTCGATTTCGTTCCTTGTTTTTCCATCACAACTTTCCCATGTCCATCTTCTGTGTTTTTTCTTTTTAAAGAAGCTGTTCATTTGATAGATATTGTTTTCCAAAAGGAAAGTCAGTAGTTGTTTGCCTTTATCATTTCTGCCAAAAATGAAAATTTCCAAAATTCGCTTCCAAAATTTCCCAATATTATTTCAGATGGGTCTTCCTTTGTGCCTATTTTGGCGTTGAAATCACCACCTATTATTAAGAAGTGGCCAGGATTTTCCCTAATTGCACAGGATATTTGGTCGTAGAATTTTTGGACTCCTTCGTCTGGATGTTCTGTAGTAGGGGCGTACACTTAAATGAACTTTAGGATATATCTGGCGTTTATTTTGATGTTTAAGTAGACCAGTCTTGTTGAGATTTGGTTGACATAATTTTGACACAATTTTTAGTTTAGTATCAAACATATTTATACCTTTATAGTTTTCTAGCTATTTTCAACTCCCCTTTTGAATAGTAGAATTAGTTTGCTAGATTTACTAAAAAATAGAGAAACTGCATGTTTGGAAAATTTGCAAAGAGAGAGGGCTTCCTAAAGCAACAAATGGAGTAGATATAACCAAGATTGTAAGACCTGAAGAGATAGTCCATTTCCATCATATAGTGAAACAGGACATGGAATATCTGAGATTACAAAAAAGTGCAAGACAGCCTAAACATAAGGGCAAAGCTACATTAGAAAATATCAAGTCAGTTAAGATACTACTGTTAACATTGGAAAACCTCTACAACATAAGTGGGGTAAATACACCATAATTCAGGAAATCAACTGAGGAAGAAACTGCCATATGTATTTGTGAACGTCACATGCTTAGTGACCCAAGACAAATATGCAGTGGTAAAAAATTGAACAGATCAGTTAAACTTCCTGTAAGAAAGCTGCTGGCTTTTATCAAGAGTATATGACTCATCGGTGGAGTTTGATATAATAGAACAATTAGGTATAAAGTTCCCACAATCAATTTTCATAAACGGAAAGTGTCTGTACTTAATCAAAACGAGAAGTATGACTGTTTGTTACTTTTATAACTTCATCTGTACGTATTTACTTTACAGAGCCAAACAACAGAATTGTATTTTTGAAAATAATATAAATAAATCTCTCTCCTAGAACGTTAAAAACATTGAGAAACTTTTCCCGAAGTCAATCATATATAGAACACAAACGACCACAGTGATGCTGCAAAAGGACATCAACTTATTGGAGAATTTGTTTTGGGCAGTATTTCATTCTAACAGTTTTTATG